CTGCATTCAGCATACCACGTTGCACACAAAAATTGATGTTCATATGTGTTTTTAATATTTACTTTTAAATTAAGAAATTAAATAATATGTAATACTAAAATTTAAATTATAATCTACAGTTTAATACCAAACTTAATGGCATAAATTCATAAAATAGTAGTTCAATAAAATTTTGAATGTGAGTTAACAAACTTGACATGACCTTTGACCTGTGACCCACGTGTAAGGGGTTAAATAAATTATAAAAGTGTTTATGGTTTATTTTTAACTTTTTTTTTTATTGGGCCATGTGTGACCTACTTGTGAGCATGCTACTGTGGATCTGAAGGTCCATCATTTATGTCCTGTTGCTGAAGAAAAACAATGAATCATGCTCCATACTTTGGGGCCAAGCGTGCATTATAAGAGTGATTGTTAAATCCCACTATTTGAGTACCTTGGGTGCTGTCAACTAGTTGCATTCCTTCAAATCTGCAAGTTCAAAATTGGGAACAGGTAGAGCAGATAATCCTTGTGTAGCTTTGCAGAAATATCCAGATTGACTATTTCCTTTCATATTGTAATCCAGGCCTATTTTTTGTTTTAGAAATTGGATCAACAAATTTTGCATTTGAACTTCAGTTTCATATAAACTGTAATTTTTGAATCATCCTAGGCCATACATGTAACAAAAAAGGACAAACAAACAGAGAGATTTGGAAATATTGTTTATTAATCTCGTTTTGGCTTTATTTTAATGATTTAAATGTTTAATTTTGTTTGCTGTATCTCTTATTAAACTGTCCAGAATTATTTCCACATGTCTCAGTCTAAGTCCTGGATTAAATCCTGCTTAAAGTACATTTTAATGTAGTGTATATTCCCTTCTGATAAATTTTGCTTGGCGATTTTTTTTAGATGCTGGAAGAACAGCAAAGGTTGATGGAGGAGAAGAAAAAGGAAGAAGAATTGTTTCTTCTGCAGCAACAGGCACTCTTGGAAAAACGTCGTGAAGAAGACAGCAAACAACAACAACAGCAGGTAACTCTAACTTCTAGTTTGTATTTTTTATATTTTAGTATGTTTGATGTAAAATAATGATTCAGTTCTCTATTTTTTGTGGTGTCAAGGTTTGACCTTTAATAATATGAAAAGCAGCTTTTTAATAAGAACATTTTCAGTTCTTTTCTCTATTATTATTTTGGATTTTTGTATTGGTTCACAAGAGAGCAAATGATTTAAGTTTTAGGCATTATAATGTATTAAACACGCATAATATAGAAATGTTAGCTGTAAATAGTATATGTTTGTAACTCTAAGACACAAAGTGTATACATTATATAATGAAAGGAGAAATCGAAGACATGGTGACAGTGTATGTAGCCACAGATTATGTGCTACAGTTAGTGATTTTCCAAAAGCATAATAACATAAAAACAATCTGAATATTGGACAGTGAGATACCATGTTTTTTCCACAGTGCTTAATGATTTGAGTAATACGTGTGTTATTATGTAATTTTCATACTAAAAATTTTAAACAGACTTAATTTTTATATTATTTTGGCTAAAGGCTTACAAAGTATGTTTAGTCACATTTATATTGTTTTAGCCAATTTTTTTCATTTGTATACGATGTACAAGGGAATGGGGATGAATACCTGGCATCATTATAATTGACTTTCATCTACTTGTATCTACCTTACCAGTTGTTAATTAATTCTTTGTAAGTTTTTCTGTTACTGTAGAAACACAACGATTTTTTCCCTTTTTAAAATTTAACATTTTATTCATCATTGTACGATACATATTAGTGTACTAAATTCGGTAGAGAATCCAATTTACATAAAGTATTTCATGTTTTAGATTTTATTTTGTGTACTTCCAACATATGAAGAATATACTTTAAATAACACTCGCAAAGCAGTGTTAGATGATTTAGTGAAACGAAGCATTATTGTTCGATTACTTCATGTTCTTTGAGGTAACGTGATATTGAAAGATTTTTTGCTGCATATCTTTCCACTTATTCAATTTTAAGCAGAATAGTATGTATTTTATTTATGTAACTTTTATTCAGTCATTCGGCCATTGTTTCACAACTGATGTTTAAGGAGGATAAAAATAAATATTTTGTGTTTGCGACTTAAACACGATGTGTTTTTGCTTTTGTGTATTATTTGTTTCCATGTAGATAATTAACTTGCTGAGCAAAATATTTTATGATAATTTTTCATGTTGTTTCATAAATTCCTTTATTGTGTGCATTATGTTCCAGAAAATGCTCATGATATATTTTAGTTGTTTATATTTTGTTGTGCAACTTCAAAAATAAATGAGCATATCTATCTATATATTTGTTTCTTTTAAGAGCAACATTAAGTAATGCAGTTGAACTAGTAGATTTAACCATGTGATATTTGATAACTGTAGGCAATACCAATAACACAGCTTGTTCTTTCTTTAAAAACTAGAATACTATTCTGTGTATCTGAATTATAACTCTTTTTATACTTTTGTTTATCTGTTTATTATCTGTCTTTAAATGTAACTGTTTTCTTTTTGTACATAGGTCATTACAACAGTACATTTACCTCCAGGCCCACCACCTGTTGTGGCATCTACAGTACCAATACCATTACCTGGACCTCCACCTCCACCACACACCACTTTTGGTGTTGGTATGCCAGTGACCACCTCTACTGTTCATCACATTGTTCACACCAGCATGGCACACCCTCCTCCTTCTGTCCCTGCCCCTATGCCTCCTCCTGTCCCCTCCATGAATCAAGTGGCCCATATCCCTCCACCACAGCCAACTGGTACAAGTATTCCCGTCACTACAGCTCGGCCACATATGATGATGCCAACATCCCTTCCTCCAAGCATGAGTATAGCTCCACCTGGAATACGTCCTCCTACGTCTTTTCCTCCAACATCTATGGGTGCCCCGCCACCCATGATGGGGCCACAACCTCCTACCATTCATCCTCCACCTCCTGTTACGCGTCCAGTAGCTCCACCTCCACCCAGCACTATGTCAAACTACCAAGGAGTGCAGAATAATATTCAAATAAGAGTCATTTCTAGGACACCACCACAGACAGAAAAAACTCCTACTACCCAGTCTACAACAAATGTAAGTATATTCAAAGAAAGCTAATGTTCTTACATATTTTGTTCGATTAAGTATATCAGTATGACATTAAACATCTTTATCAAGGAGATAGGGTACTGTTTCATCTAGTATGATACATATCTGAGTTACTATGACAGACCTTTTAATATGATATTTATAGTTTTATATATTTAATATTCCCCACTATATTGATAGGGAAACTTAAAATTTTATTAATTATTGGTATTAGAAATTTTATTATAAGAATTATCACAGTTATTAGTGAAGTGATTAATTTAAATTTTAGAATAACTTCTGCATTCAAAACTTAAAATCAGAAGCATCTGTACACAAGACTATTAGATGGGTATTGAATAACAAGTTATCAGCCATCTTTAGCTAACTTTTCATGCACATGTTTTAACATTGGAATCTAGCTATTGAGGTTGAAACTGTAGATACACAAAACATACATTTTTAAAGGCTTGATCTAAGCAGATTTAAATGCAACATTGTGGGAACATATTGAAATTGTAGTAGATTATGGATATTCATCCAACTTCATTTTAAATACATGGTAGTCATTTCCTAACAATTAGGGATTTACGATAACTACAGGGAATTACAGGCTTTGTGGGTTTAGAAACTTAAAAATGATTTTGTTAGCATTTTTACTTGATTACTATTGAATCTTTATTTGTCTGAATGGTTCCACATCACCAAGTCAATTTAGATATTAGAGATTTTAATACCAGAATTTAATGATTAATATCAAAAGTGAAGAAAGTT